GTTGTGGCTGTAATGATTTCGCTGGCGCTTCCTGTAATCCTGACGCCTTTGGTGCGAGTGCTTGTGGCGCTGCCGGTTTACTTTTGGGGTCAACATCTCCAGCGACAGCTTTGGTCGCATTGTCGTTTTGAGTGCTCTTTTCGAGCGGAGTACCCCGAGAAGTCGGAGAAGTTGATGAATGTGCTTCAGCTCGTCCACCACCGCCGGCACCGCACCACAGCACGCAGAGGGCACACACCAGCAGCACACGGCCAGTCATCATCATCACGGCTGCACACACAGTCTAGGGAGGGGCAAAGAGAGGAGGATGAGAAGAACACACACACAACAGCAGCATGGAAAAGGAGGAGTAGCGTTTGCATGAGGGTTGTTGTCATGAGCATGGGGGACGCGTGCACGCAGGAAGAACAGGCAACAATGAAACACCGGACAGCACGCCACACAACTCCACGGCATGTAAAACCCACCCACAGCTGCCCCCAAAATGGACGGGAAAGAGAGCGCAACAGTACGGCAAGAACACAGTGATGCCGGTGCAGAAAAGGATCCCAAAAAGGCGTGAAAAAGAAACAAAAAACAGTCTTCCCCCACAGCGGCCACATCCAACAGCGCAAATTAATAATAACAGAAACAAACACCACACACGGCAACTCACAGCGGCAGTGAGTCCCTGTCGCCAATCTTCATGGCTGCACGCCACCGCACTCCTCGTGAGTCCATCGCTCCGCTGCCTTCCTCCTTCCCGCGGCTCCCCCGCACAAACAGCCACGGCACTCAATCGGGTCCATCCGCACCCGTCGCCACGCCGCCCTCAACGACCCAACAGTCAACCGCCCAAAAACCGTTGCTGAAATCACACACCCGCAACAAAGCACGCGACGCAACATCATGTCACGTGGACCCCGCCGTCAGAAGAACGTCATGTCAACCGTTTCGCCGGCACACGGTACAATCAATCGACAGAACAGAGAAGTAGGACAGGCACTCAATCAAGGACTCTCCACACACACACACACAAGGCTCTTTTGATGCCGCCGCTGCTGCCACGGGCACGGTACCCGAGCGGAGAATGACACGCAGTAAAAGCCCCGCAAGAGAGAAACAATCCACACGTCCATATGCAAAGCGCCACTCAGGCTGCTGCGGCTGCAGGGTACGTGGGCAAAAAGCGCCTTACTGAATCCCGCCAGTTATGTCAGTCTCCCCTCCCACCAATGTAGCGCATAATGCACGGCGTGCATCCACAGGCATCCACTCCCGGTGCCCTAGCAACACTTCAGAACACACATAATGGAGAAGGGAAGTATCATTACACAATGCCAAAGCAGGTAAATAAAAATAGGGAAATAAAAACCACACAGATCCCTCGCACACGCACCCAAACACCCCACTGTATCCTCCAGAAGAAGTCAAACAATTTCTTATCCCAACCCATAATACACGCGTATTGCCGACAAATTAGCAACCAACACAAAAGAGGGAGAGTGCATACAGCATGTCCCTGGTACAAAGTATACAGACAAGCAAAGGGTATGTATATACTGATAGGAACATGCCAGTTGATATAGGCCTCTCTCTTGCACCCATTGCTGAGTGTTGGCACCGCGGCGGCAGCGGCAAGCAGAAGAATCAGCGGAAAGGGACAAGCAGCAGCCGCACTGTTACTGCCGTGGATCGGAGGCGGGGCGTCCTTCATGTCTGCCTCCCAAAACCCGCGCACCACCGCCGCATCATCCTCCCTCGGCGGAGGGTCCACGGCGCCCTGCGCGTCATCAGCGGCATCAGGGCTCCTGGGTCCCGTGGCTGTGGCACCGCCACCGGCCTTGTAGCTGACGGCCTCATCTCCTAATGATTGTCCCACAACAGACGTCACACCATCGGCGGCCACATCGTCGATGTCCGGAAGATCGCGCTTCTTCTCCGCCTCCTGCGGCGCACCCGCGGTGTCGCTGGGCAAGAGCACTCCGTTGCCGTCGTGGCACCGGAGGCAACTTCCCTCTCCTCTGGCGACGGATGCTTCTGGGGAGCAGCCGTGTCCACATACTTCGGTGGTGTGCCACGGCCGGTCCCAATGCTCTCTGGATCGGGGACGGATGCCCGTAGCAAAGCTTGTTCAGTAGATGCCAGTGAGACCGTCCTGCTCCATACACCCTCTCACATCGCCACCCCACGAAACTACTGGAAGCAGACTGCCGCTTGTGACGGATGTCGTGCACACCTGCGCGTGGTCACGGAAAATAGCTTTTCCCTCGTCGTAGGGTGGAGCAACCCACGTAATCGTCGCCTCGTCCGTGCATGGGGCACAACGGGCGTTACCCTTCTCAGTCACTCTCAGACGCACCCGCATGCCGAGGCACCGCAATGCCGCATGCATGACAGCACCGAGATGTATGTTTCTTCCGGGTCCCTCGCATCCTTCGTGTTGGTGGGAAGCGTGTCCAGGCACCACGAAGAGGGCTTGTCCCCAGGCACCGCAGACAAATATTCTCCCCTCCAAATAACAGCGGCAGCATTTCTCACATCCAGTGCGGGACCAATGATGGGGCAGATGTCCATCGGGCGTTTTGCTGACCCTTCATGGATACTTCTTCTACACACCAACCACTGGAATAACGATCCAACGTGCAGCGTCTGGCATGAACGCCCGCTTTTCAGAACATCTGGGGATATTCACTCATGTTCGGTGCGGAGCACTTCCTCTGCAGCAGCGCACAGCACGAATCCCTTCACCAGCGCATCGGCTCCGCCATATCCCACTTCACCCCCATGCAGCCCAGGTCAGCCAGTGCGGCCAGCGTCAGCTCCGTGCAGTAGCCGGCACAACCAATCGGTGCCATCCACTCATCCTTCGCGTGGCGCTGCGACCAGTGCGACTCCAGCGTCCTCCCGTCCCCATCGCCATCCTGCAGCTCCATGCCACCAATGTCGTCGTGGTCGCGGGGCTCCCTCGCAGCCATCACGGCAGTCGTCGAGTGCATCACCACCGACAGCGCTCTGCCACGCACAGCACCATGTCAGCATTGGTAACACCAGTGGAACAATGCCCAGCACGCACCGTGAACCGAATGCAAACGCTGCCCGTGGCAAATGGGGGCACAATCAAAGAACCCTCCAGTGGCTGCACGAGCAGACGATCCGCATGCGGGTTGACAGCAGCAGGGACAAATTCATTCTCGAGAATGATCCCGTGCGCAGAGGATACAACGTCACCTTCACACTCGCAATTGTCATTCAATGAATTCATTGCGTAGTACCTCTCTGAGATCCAATACTTCCCGGTATCATCCAGGTCCCTTGTGGATACGTTGATACGGATGGGCGTCCATCCCTCCCAATGACGGTGTATGGCTGCAGCGCACTCACTGCTCAAAAAGGGTGCGTCCCTCACAACAACGCGGATCCAATTTGTGCTGTCGGCACGCATCACATATTCAACAAATCGAGGGTACGTCAAAGTGACAGCAAAGCACCCGCTGGCAATCACACCATAAACATCATCACATGCAGCAGCACCAGCGTCTCAAACTAATTTGGGGTGTAGAGCAAATAAGCCATTGATGTGGGTGTTATGCAAATATTTCGTGGCTCGCTGAATCAACAAGGACCGATTGCGTGGGAAGAAACAAAGAACAGGAGAATACAAAAGAGAAAATTCAGCCATCCGCACATTAAGAAGAAAAACAAACAATGAAAGTAAAATGGGTGCACTCAACCACAAAATCAAAAAGGAAAACAAAACAAAAAGCCGAAGCGTGGGACGACCAGCGCACACACACTCTCATTGCTCCCGTAAAGCAAAACACACACACAGAGGGAGAGAGAGAGAGGTCGCCCACTCAGTGCAATAAAAACAAAACAGAAACAGTTACGGTGCTCCGCCCATGCAGCCAGGCAGGACGGCAGCGGTGCGTGTCGTGCAAAAGAGAGCACCAACGGGCATGCATGGGTGTGCATGCATATATACAATGGGCACATTATTGTGTGTGCCTCGTGGGGTGAGGTGAGGGCGAGAGTCCATGCAACGGGACACACACACAGAGAGAGTGAAGGACGAGTGTGTGTGCGGTGCACGGCTCTCTCACACTCACTCTCACGCGGCCACCACCGCAGCCGCACACGCAACAAGAAGAAGAAGCAAAAGAGGGGAGGTGGTGTGGGAGACCGCGGTGCTGCTGTCGCTGTCGCCAACCTTTTCATTATCGCCAGTTTGGCGTTTTTCTGTTGCTGCAGCATCCGGAGTTCGAGCATCCTCAGATGTCTTCGTCCCTGTGGAGTGTTCCTCCTCAAAAGGGGAAGGTTCTTCGCTTGTAGATGGCTCAGTTTCTTGTTCTTGACTGCCAGTTGATGTACTCTGCGCCGTACTTTCCGTGGAGGCAGAATATTCTTTATTTTCCTTTTGTGTTTCGGGTAGGTTCGTGGATGTATCCGTGCTTTGGCTTTCATTCGTCTTTTGTTCCGGAGTTAACACTTCATTTTGGGTTTTGTGCTCCGGCGGTACTGTGTCTGGCACTGTCGTTTGGACCTGTTCACTGCTTTCTGATTTTGTACCTGGACTCTTTAATAAGTCTTCTTCTCTGGGGTTCTCTGGATCCTCGTTTCCACTATTTTCCACTCCCAATGAGGACTGACCTTCTCCACCCTTACTGTTCTCGCCAACACCTTCACCCCTTTCTGAGGCAGGAGTGTGTGGCTGCGGTGCTGATGGCGGTTGTGGCTGCGGTTGCTGTAGTACATTTAATTGCGATTTTGGCGGTTGCCCTACTTCCTGTTCTTTATTTTGTATTTCTGGCTTTGTTTTTCCTTGTTCTGGAGCATTTTTCAAACGTTCTTCTAATTGCTCTGAAGGGCTTCTATCTTCACCCTCCACTCCAGGAGCAACAAACAGTTGATCATTTTTAACTTCTTTTCCTTCCAAGGATTTTCCTTCAGACTTTTCTGTTGATTGATTAACCTTGGGCAAACCTTTTGTTGGATCTAAGCTATCTGATCCTGGCGTTGAAGTTCCAGTCGACCCCACAGCAACTTTACCACCACCAACAGGAATCTCCACCACCTCCTCGTCACATCTACCGCCGGCACCGCACCACAGCACGCAGAGGGCACACACCAGCAGCACACGGCCAGTCATCATCATCACCACTCCTTTCACTTGCGTTTAGCCTTCAGCACAAACTAACTCCCCGTCAACGAAGAGTGAAAGCAAAAAGGGGAGACACGTCACGCAATCACGCACCGTCACCGCACAGTCACAAATGGCAATGAAAACACCATGAGGCAGTTGTAATCAGTACAATTGCAGAGCTCGCACAGTGATCCCCAAACCAAAAGTTAAAAAAGCAGTAAAAAAGGCACAACAGCAGAGTTGAGAGTCCGGTAAAATTCCCAAAAAGTAAAAAATAAAAAATCGATCAGGGACGTCCTTTATTTTATGTGCCAAGCAGCGCAACGTAAACGACCACT